AAAATTATTTCTTATTACCCATCTGGAGTATTAGAGATACCACTATTCCAAGTTTCAAATTCACACATATAGTAGTTTTTGAGAAATAGCGGTCAGTGAATGAGTGGTAAATAGTTTTTAAATATATTTAAAGATTATTATGTAAAAAAAAAAAAAAAAAATTAAAAAATTAAGAAGTTTAAACATAAAAATGTTAGAAACATAAGTTTTAAAAATTTTATATTGCAAAATAACAAATTTAAAATTAATTGAAAAAATAATATTGTACACAAAAGATTAGAAAATGCTTGTAGCACACTCTGCATATATGATATACGTGATGTTTTACCTGTTTTACTCTACTGGTAGCAGTCAATAAGCACGGCGTAGCTAGGAATTTCAAAAGAGAGGGATGTTATTCAAAATTAACTGGGGAAATAATCTAACGTATATTTTATTGTACAATCACAAAAGTACATTAGTACATTATACAATGTGTGAATATCTATCGATATGTGATGTACTTATGTATGAGAAAATATTTAAATATTTCAAATGTATATTTTGTTCCTTATATACCTACATTTTAAATCGTGCATTAAATGACACAAAACCACGGCTTTAAATTATTAGATAAGACGATGTAATGAGAAGCCGGGTCTCAGCTTTACATCACTGTTATCGTAATATGTTCCTATATACTTCGTTATGATAAATATGTATTCATTACGTTTATGATATAACACTCTTATGAAGTAAAACACGGTCAAGAGAGGGGGTGTTACTACACCTGCAACATCCCTTGACTACGTGCCTGATGAGTGATATACATATTATTATCTGTTATGGATCGAAAGAAAACAGACATTTTAAAGCTATAAAGCAATATTTACTATAACCAAGAGCTTTTAAAAAGAAATTCTCTATCCGGTTATGTAATGCTTGTAATGATATACGCCTAAGCATTCATATAATTTTTAAAATGTAATGTATAATTAAATAATTATAATATTCGATAGCCATTAAATATAATAATAAGTCGTAAGTATTAATGATAAGATATTACACACACACATACATACATAGACGCGCGCGCACATACACACACACACACACACACACACACACAACATTATATATAAGGAGGATAGTTTTTTTAGTTAAAGAGAGACGCGTTCTTGTTGTCCTTTTGTATAGATGGTCAAAGGTGAGTGTAAAAGACTACGCAGATTGTCTATGCAAAAATACATAATTAGTTGTAAAACGTTCTGTAAAAATTTAAAATACGTGTATTAATGTGTGTAAAAAGAAGTTTAAATAAAATTATTAAAAGTGAGTAATAGAAAAGTTATTAATATTTTAAAGTACGAATTGGTTACCTTATCTCATTCCTCAATCGTCTACTACGGTTTTCAAGAGGCAAACAGATTCAATCATTGGAGAGGTAATATTGTTTATTTATGATATAACAAGTAATGATTTAAAAAATATATAAATATTTTTCACAATAACTAACAACCTAATAAATTAAATTTTATATCATTACAGGCTACTGGAAAATTTTTAACGATTATATATTTCATATAACCTAGACATATTTAATGAAATACGTTTTACAGCGATTACTTACTACTGAGCACTGTTAGGTACTACCTATATTTATACATTAACAGTATTTGTGCAGTATTATAAATGTGTATAATGTTCATTATATTTACATAATAATTTGATGTTTCAGAAAATAAAAAACATGTAGTGTTGATTCATTGTCTTACCATGAGACTAGTCTTTGTATATTTAATAATAATATAGTCGTTTAATATTCATAGGAATGTAAATAGCAAAAGGTCTTTTTCTAAATGATATTGATTATTATTCACTAGATATTACAAGCTTGCGTGATTGTGTGACCATTTTATACTATAATGCACTTCAAAAGGACAACTAATGTTCACAAGAATTCAGTCGTAGTAAATATAAATATATATATATATATATATGTATGTTACCAGCAATATGGATAATTCAGGCATTTTGCAAAATGCCAAGGCATTATGTGAATTGTCGACCTGTTTTAGACAATGTAAATAAAACATATGATTTTCAATAATATTTTATATATGAAGGGCTATGGGGAAAAACGATAATAGTCAATATTCCTAAAATGTTCAGTATTGCAATTTTAAAGTTTCAGAACTCAAAAACCCAAGAAATAAAACTAATTTTACGTCATATAACGAATAAAAAAAATATTAAATTTACTTTTTAAATTTTAGAAAAAAAAAAAAATAAAAATACTGACATTGATCTTTTTTTCCTGTTATGCATCTTCATTTTTGTCGATTGGTATATTATTTGCATACTCTACATCTACGTCATCTCTATCTGTTTCATTTGACTTGAGTGCAGCATAGAATTGTTGTGCATCCAATTTGGTTAAAAATTGCTTTAGGTGTAGTAGGTCATTAAGTTTTGCTTTTTTTATTGGTAGGGGACCATCATATAAAGGAACAAGAGTAGTATTCTTATTTATTTTATTTTTTCTATTCCTTTTATTAGTGGCGCGAGTGATGACAGCTGATAAGTAAGGCCCATGATATATGGACTTATGGTTTATAAATCGAGGTTTACTTTCCTCAATAAGTAGCACTCGAATGGGTCTCGTTGGAATCGGGTTTTTCGTTGGGTATAAATCTGAAAAATAATCTGTCCACGTCTTGAACTCGACTTCAATGGCACAGTCAATAACATTAAAAGGTGTTGGTTTTTGACGGCTCTGTAGAAAGGTATTCCTCCAGTCATCAGGAAGTTCGATATAAGATTTAGAATTTATTTTTCTCATGTCTCTATCGCATTCTAAATACGAGTGACCATGAATTGGGAATACCATCTTTATGCTATCGAAAGGTTTTTTTATGCAGACCATGTAATGAAAAAATCTTATTGTCGTATAGTTTTTGTTCTGACCTACACACGAATCGCAAAAAATAATTTTCTGACTTTCAAATCCAAAATTTTAAAAAAATAATGTTCAAGCATTGAACATACGTCATCGTACGTACTAAAAATAAAAACCATACACTTGACTTTGATCATTTTTTCACGTTTCCGCTCGGACTCTGATCTTTTTTTGCCGTCATGGTAATATTTAAACCTGTATTATATCATTGACCGTGATATTTTTTCCCTAACTCGATTCACGTCACAATTCGTTCAAAAACCAACAAACAAGATATTATATTATCTGATTATTATTTTTTTTTTTTTGACTATTATCGTTCTTCCCCGTAACCCTTCATATGTATAATCTAAGTATTTTATATAATACTCAGTGTCGTATTTAGTAATTTTGCGCCCCAGCACAAAAAAAAATATTGGAGCCCCTCTAAGGGGCCTATCCATGGAAAATTTTGGAGATAGATCCTCATGTACCTTATAGATATTCTAAATTAATGCTATTTTTGTGTAGTAGGCACGCCACCACACGCCGTACGTGATAACATAATACTCCGTATTATTATAAATAACTTATGTTTATTGACATTATCACAAAAAATTTCGGAATTGATATTAGGTATACTAATAATATTCTAGATCTTTGATAGCTATATTGTTATAAATATATTAATAAATTAAATACATTAACATTAATTTATGATACTGTTATTAAAAACAAAAAAAAAATAATTTCAAAATAATTTTAAAAGTTCAATAATTCACAAATGAGCAAATTTCCGACCACAAAATTTTGGCGCCCCCAAAAAACTTGCGCCCAGGACAGTTGTAACCAGTACCCCCCTTAAATACGGCCCTGATAATACCTAGGCATTATGCAAAGTGACAATATTTTTTTAGGCAAAGTACAAAATATTTTGTTATATATTATATTACATTAAGATTCTTATAATTCTTCTTCTTCTTAGGCTTGAAACAGACCATTGAGGTCTAATGCCGCTTCTGCAATACCTCTTCAATGCATTCTATCTACTGTCAAATTGATGTTATAGGTAGGGTCCACTCGTGTCAGATCTTTCTTTACAGTATCGAACCATCTTTGACTTGATTTCCCTATAAGTCTTTTTCCATTCAGATTTCCATCGAGCACTTTTATTATAAGACATCTTTCTGCACGCCACACGTGTCCAGCCCATTCTAATATCTTGCTACTAAGAAATTTACAGATGTTTGGTTTATTATAAAGTCTTTGTAAATCTTCATTTTTCCTTCTTTCGAAAACTCTTAGGTCTACATTAAACACGGGACCATAGAGTCTCCTTAGTATTTTTCTTTCGAAGATGGCTAGCTTTTCCTCGTCACCCTTCGTGCTGGCCCACGTCTCGCATGTGTACGTCGCTATTGGTCACAAATAGGTTTGTATAACCTTTCCTTTATTCGTCACGACAGATTCTTCGACGTGAACATCTCTTTCATTGCGTAATAGTTTTTGTTAGCCATCATCAGTCTGATCTTTATTTCCTCATGCATGTTATTTTTCTCATTAATGTTCACCCCTAGATATTTAAACTCTTTTACTTGTTCGAAAGAATATCCGTATATCTTGAGATTGATTTTCGGTGTTACTTGTCTTGATATAACCATGTATTTTGTTTTCTCCTCGTTAACTATTAAGCCCATGTTTTGACTTGCTTTAAATCATTTTTCCGCACTAGTTTTTATTTAATTTATAGATGATCCTAAAATGACTAAATCATCTGCATATGCTAGAAGAGTATTCATCCCAATCAATTCCATTTCTCATTTTTCGTGCATGCCCCTTATCACTTGTTCCAAGGCAAGATTAAATAGTACCGGAGATAGTGCGTCTCCCTGTCTTAAGCCGGTCTTGCATTAAAATGCTTCGGAGGTCTGCTCCATAAAACGCACTTTGCAGTATGTTTGTTGGTTAAAAATCTCAACTAGTCTCACCAATTTCCTTGGTATACCGAAATTTTTTGGTGTTATCCAGTTGTTCACGGTCAATACTGTCATATGCTTGTTTGTAATCTACAAAAAGTATTATATTAGTAGAATTTTTCCATTACTTGTCTTATTGTGAATATATGATAAGTCGTAGATTTTCCTCTTCTGAAATCAGTTTGATAATCTGTTAAGATGTCTTCCGCATAAATTACTAGTCTTCTTAGCAACGCCATCGATAAAATTTTGTAAGCTGTATCTAACAAAGAAATTTCATGGTAGTTTGATACTATACCAGTGTCAAAATTTTTGAATATTGGACAAATTATCCCGGTTCTCCAATCCGTTGGAATCTGTTCCTTGTGCCATATTTCTCGAATTAAGGATTGTAGCTCTATAATTAAGTCTTTTCCTGATGTTTTAAGTAATTCAGAGTTTATGTCACCTTCTCCTGGAGCTTTGTTATTTTTAAGGTTATTGATAATATAATCTATCTCTCTAAGATCAGGCTCCTTGTATTCTTTATACTTGGTTTTGTTACTGTTATTTGTTTGGCTCGCATTAAGTAGCGCATCAAAATGTTTTCTGAAATGTTGTACGATTTCTCTCGGTTCCGAAATGAGATCATTCTGATTCTTTTTTAAGAAAAGTGTTTCTGATTTAAAACCCTGTTTGAGTCGTTTGCAGTGTTTGAAGAAATTCCTCGAGTTGTTCCTCTCTCCCTCAAGTTCTTCGAGTGCTTTCTTCTCATATAGTCTTTTTTTGTCTTCTAATTGTCTTGTTTGTCAACTCCTTAAAATGTTTATATCACTCTCGGTTTTCTTGTGATGAAGTGTGTATAATTTGCACGCGAGTTTCATTCCGCTTTTTTACTGTTTCCATACACTCATTATTGAACCAGTGCTTTTTCTTATTGTGATTGGGGTTTTCTTTGAGATTTTTTGCAGCCGAGGTAATAACGTTTTTGATATTTGTCCATTTATTTTCGTGATGAAGGATTATGTGTTCCTTCTTTTCTTTTGTGGTATAGAGTTCTTCAGTGATCCTTTTCCTATACTGTGCTATTTCCAAAGGGTTTCTAAGCCTGTCTACATTTAACATATTTGTACTCTTCCTACTTTTATTCTCTTTCCAAAAAATTGATAGCTTTTCAATAAGAGTTGCTACTACTAGGTAATGGTCGGTATTTGCGTCTGCTTCTCTGTGGCTCTTAACGTTACTGAACCATGAACGGTGTTTATTATCTGTCATTACGTGATCGATTTGATTTTTGATTGCCACGTCAGGAGATATCCATGTTTGCTTGTATATGTCCTTTTTCTGGAAATAAATGCTGCTTATGATGATTCTATTGGACATCGCGAATTATATGAGACGAGCTCCATTATCATTGGACATACAATGAAGACTTTCCTTACCAATAGTAGGTCTGTATATATTTTCCCGTCCAATTTTTGGCATTCATGTTTCACAATATAATTTTGATAGCGTGTCGGGGGATAGCGTTATACACCTGTTCGAGTTCATCATAAAATATGTCTTTGGTTTCTCCATCTTTTTCTTCAGTCAGTGCGTGACAGCTAAATATTATTACAATGTGCTCCTTTATTTTCAAGCGTATATAGCATATACGCTCATTCATAGCTTCAAAGCTTTTAACATTCTCTAATAGTCTATTATTTATCATAAATCCAACTCCAAATGCATGTCTATTATCGTTGCATCCGCTATAGAAGATTGTTGTCTCTTTATGTTTCAGACTACTATTTCCTGGCCATCTAATTTCTTGTAAAGCTATGATGTTTAAATTATATTTAGTTATCTCACTAATAACTACGTTCATTGACCCTGATTTGTAAAGTGTTCTGATATTTCATGTGCCAATCCGTAAATTCCTGATTTTGTTCCTGTTTTCGTGTTCAGTTTGGGAGTCCTTTGTATACAATGTCTGAGGCTTTTTGTGAAGTTTTTTAACAGAGAGATTTTTTCCACTGGATGAGTGGTTGGCTCAACGCAGAAAACCTCAAACTGGAAGACTAGGCTACCCCAACCAATTAAGGTCAGGGTAATATTATTTATTTAAGATATTAATATGTTATAATTATTATATATTATTACTCGTATTACAGACAAAATTTAATTTTTATCTATTACTATATTATTAATATTAAATAAATATTTTACTTAAACTACTATTTACTTATTATAATATGTTGTAGAAAATTGATATTTTGAAGTACACAAAATTTTATTTTTAAGGCAAATACATTTTTTATTTTGACACTTAGACTTACAAACACATTTTAAAAATCCTAGGCCAATTCTTGTGGATTGAATTTTTATCAACTCATTATACTGTTCATTAGATAAAAAACTAGTATTAGTGGCCAAATTTAAAAAAAAAAATTTGTATTTTGTTATAAAAATTTGACTTTATATAAATCGTATCCATAATTGCACACCACAACGAGACACAAAAATGACGAGAAAATGACGATATTGTAATAAAATTATTAGTACGTTCAATATTGTAGGTACTTCAGATTTATTATTATAGTAGTAAAATAATCTTAATCTTTATTGCGTTAAATCGTGCACGCACATTTATGATAAGTAAAGTCGTTAGTAATAGGCGATGCCCAATTTTGTTTATTTTCATCATATTGCCTACTCCATGTTTGGCATTTTGCAAAATACCGGATTATCCATATTGCCGGTAACATATACATATAAACATATTTATAAGATATCCTTTTAAAAACATAGCAGTAAATTTTCCTCTTTAATTTCAAATTTGTACGTGTTATTTTCATTAATAGTTACATTATTTAAAGTACAAACTTGAAGCTATTACATAATAAAATGTCTATTTTTAAATATTAATGAGTGAGTCGGAAGAAATGCGTTCACATTCATAATTTATTATTAAAGTATAAATTATTTACAGTACCTATGTTCTATTGAGGGTATAGTTTCTGAAGAAACTTTTATATTTAAACATATAATAATCATAAAAATACATATATCTATAAACTATACATAATTATCGTATAATATTAAAGTATAAAAGTTAAATTTAATCACGTCCACGTTTTATAGTTGTAATTCTATTTTGTGTGTAAGATTATAGTAATCTTTGGACTTCGTAATCAACTTTTTTTATGTTTTGTTTGGATATATAATTGTCACGAAATATTTGATTTACAAAAATTAATGCCGTGTAAATAAACATGACTTTTAAATATTATAAATTAATATTATTCTAAGTGCATTTAATATATACGAATATATAGTATATATATATATATATATATATATATATATGATCAATTAATACTACATTGAAATAATGTATCAATATTCAAATACAAAGATGTATAATATATTACAAATTTATTATGATTTAATTATGGTAAAAAATAAAACATAAAAACTACAAAAGTAATAGTGATATGTACACGATGACAAATATTAAAAATAGTTAAACTTATGAATACGACTACAATAAATTAGGCACTGGTATAAAGTAGGTAAAAACAAATTTACTCAACATCCTGATTTTAATGTGCAATGCTACAGTAAAATAAACAAAATACTATTTGTATAAATAAATTATATATTAGTGGCGTATTTAATTCTATATTTATTTAAAAAAATATATACTCGTATATAACATTCCGTTTAATTTTAAATTTATTTATAAAAATTACTGAAATTTTTTTAATTTTATCACCCGACTATCAACTTTTTTTTTAATTTTAAGTAACTCATATACAAAAAACTTTTAATCATTTTACAATTTAATAAATAAAGTTTTAAAAATAATGAGCAAAAACAAGGTTGAAATTCTAGGACCTATAAAAAAAAACGAAATAAATCGTTTGCTACCTTTGTAAATGTGCCACTGATATATATGTAATATCAAATATATATATATATATATATATATATATATATATATATATTAAACGTAGGTAACGATGAGAATACTGATGTTCAAAAATTAACAAATCATTTTTCGTTAAAAAAAAAAGCTGTACAGTGTAAAAATATAAAGTGAGTAGATATTTAAAGATTATAGTTGAATTTTAGGAGAAAATTATAAATTCAGAGTTGGATTTTTACCATCGGTAACTACGTTTAGTAATCTTCCTGTTAAATATCCGTTGTCTGTAGTTTCGTTGGACCAAGTTTCAGTGGTTGAATGCGATTTGTTATCGGTTTTTTGTTTATCGAAAAGTCCGTTCTGTTGGAGACAATAATTAATTAAAATAAGATTTAAACAGTTTCATAACTGAAACCTTTATACAAACATAACATTATATCTTATGTTTATATATTAAATATATAAATAAAGAATTCATCTAATGTGGTTGTTTAAAGGTTAACTGCATTTTTGCGGGGAATGTCAACAGTACAGCTAGTTTTTTGAAATGTCAGTAGGGTAAATATTTTTTATATCTGTATATGGGTATACTGTATAGATATTTAATTTTGTATACAACCATGCATTGTAATAATGAATAATTTTTAATTAAATACTTACTATGTACGTAGAAATCACAATTCCGATAATCGAACCGGCCAATACGTCCCACCAATGATGTCTGTGGTCCGTGATTCGAGTAAGAGAACAGAACATTGCCCAGAAAATACAAATCGCTTGTAAGACTGGCATCAACAGCATCGAACGTGATTTGCATTTATCCTGTAGATACCACTACAAAAACAACAATTGATTAAAAAAACAAAAAACAATTAGAATAATAAAGAAAATTTGAGTTTGACCACAGAAGTACTTAACCACAGTGTATGAATTTAAGATAAAAACTTACAAGAAAAAGGTATGGTTAAATATGGGAGAGAGTGGAATATATTTCCCTCTTTTTATTTATTTTATATTGGTAGCTTAAATAATAAAAAATAAAAATAAATTTGTTTTAATATACTTGCATCTTTACAGAGTACTTATCTGAATTATTTAGGCGGTCTTGTAGGTACTTCAAAATTATATTTTTATGGATTGTATAATTTATGTTAATGTATCATCCTCGTCCCCCTGCCCCATAATATAACCATTTAATCACTACTGAATGAAATTTTCTTAATACTAGATTCGCATTAGAAAATGATTTAACACCTATTTTTTCAAATATTAAATCTTTCCTACCTAAGAGTTTTATTATGGCCAATTTTTAAATAAAATGATATAATATTTATATATAAAAAATTACAATTAAATAGTTTAGCAGAGGTTGAAATATAAAATGAAAAATAACACATATTCGCATTTACTTGATGATTTTATATTTTACTTACAGCCAATGAAATTGATCCGTATACTGAAATGGAAGCATGCCCTGATGGAAACGATTTGCTAGCATCTCTTACGTTGTATGTATTTTCTTTTTTGTTCGTACATGTGTATTGGTCAATGTACCTAAGTATAAATAATATGAGACTGTTGTTTCAATAAAATACTAAAGATATGATTACTTTAAAATTAATAATAATATGAGCTTTTGTAATAGTTACAATAATGTTATTACATAAGGTACATTATTAATAAGGTATTACATAAGGTTTTTATTCGATTAAGAGTATGGTTAATAAATTAGTTATATCGTTCATCGATTTTTATTATTTAACACTGTATTTAATTAGGTTAATAAAATATTAGACTCTGTAATATGGTTTTATGATAATATAGTAAATTACTTATTGGTGCAGTTTTTAGCTTCTTCGGGATGGCAGGTATCTAAAAAATGTGGTCTAGGTTCACCAATCAACATTTTTCCAACGTTTGTGATAAAAAATACAAATATCACTCCCAATATAAACTTTCGGTACCACTTCAAAGATTCCTTAAGCCATTCATACCGCCCGGAATCGAATTTATTGGTATCTTTGGTGAAATACTCAGTCATTATTGCCTGTTTACACAACATTCCACATTTTATTGTTTGTTATTATTTCATATTTGTGTAGAATAATTCATCGATCAAAACTTACGGTTATGTATGGAACTATGAGCGTAACTAATACGAGTACATGGGACTCCACTGTATCACCTTTGTATTTGTAGTTTATTTTTGGGTCCCCGCAAAAAAAGCCGATACTCTGTAGGTGTGGAATAGTTCCAAATTCTACTAAAACCAATGCAATCGAAACTAAAAAATAAAAAAAAAAAATGATGAGTCATGAGTTACTATATAAATTGTCAAATAAAAATAAAATCCAACACGAAATATATCATAATAAAATACATAATTCTACTTTTCAATTTTAAAATCACTAGTTTTATGATTTGTAACAAGGGAGTGGCATGCACATATTGATGAACTTAGGACTTGTGTTTGGAGAAACTTTCAAGTCATACACAGTTTTAAATAATAATGATTCTAGATGGATTTAAAAATATACCTATTGTATAAATTAACACGTTTTTATTATACAGGTGAAACAAGTATTTTACAGATTTACTTTTTATCTATCCTTATATGATCTAATTTTTAACTACAATATTAATAAGATATGAAATCTGATATTTGTTTTTCTAGATAAAATGTACTCCAGAATCCAATGTATAATTATAAACTTTTCTCTAACAATTATAAAGTTATACGAATGAAGTAAATTATGTTCTTGTAAAATTGATAATAATGATAATTAATAAAACTAATAGTTGTTGATAATTTCGAAATTATAAGTAAGTATACAGTGTGTAAACGCTAATTAAGATCACACTATATCTTTGCGTAGAGACCTGTAATTTGAATTATATTTTTTAGTTGGTTTGTATTACATAAAAATACACATTTTTATGATCATCGAATTTTTTCAACTTAATTAGACAGGCGCATGCGCAGTACAACTTTTTTTTTTTTAATGGTGACAACCTATTTTAACCACTATTTTATTTGCCTAATTTTTTAATGAATTTTGGTAGCTTCATCAATTTTTGAATTCCAAGATTGACCAAATTAGAGCAATTTAAAAAAAATAAAGTTATATTGCGCGGAATTTTCAGTATTTTTATTGACATTCTGCAAATAAATGTTCTAGGATTATTCAGGCTTGACATTTTTACCCCTATTTATTAAGGTGAGATTTACACGTAATTATAATTTTGACTACTATTAATTTTCACTTTAATTTGTGCAAGAATTATAACTTATACTACTTATATATTTCATCAATATCCAGGCCTGTATTTATGGTGGGGGGGGCACGGGTAGGCACATGCCCGGGGGTGTCAAGTCTCAGGGGTGGCAAAATATTTTAGATTAATTTTAAAAATGATGTACCGAATGAAAAAAAAAACAATAAAAAAAAAGTTGTATTTTTATTAGGTATATTATAATTAATTAATTAAAAAAAAAAGGAAATTGTATGTTTTATTATGTTATAATTTGTTTAATTTGTTGATTAAAAAAAGTATTAAACGATTTTCATTTATAAGTTATATTTTAATACTAAAGAATCTCGATTATGAACGAAATAATAAGTGTTATATTATTATTATTTATTTGTGGGAGGGGGCATAAATTATAGGCCTGGGGGAGCCAAATTTTTTAAATACGAGCCTGCCAATATCATGATCATTTCAACTTTAACTCTAACTAATATCCCGTAAAAGTTAATGCTTGAGAGTATTATTATGACAAACAATATAATGAATCTTAAGCAATTGAATATAAATAGGTTAAATCAATAAATATCTTATTATATATATATTGTATTGATAACAATGTCGATAATCAACTAAACATTTTAAAAAAATAGTATATAATTACATAGTTCCTTGAACGTTCAGCTTTATAATACACATTTATTTGTATTAAACAATTATAATGAACTTGAACATATTTTGCAATTTTCTTACAATAAAGATGATTCAATATTATTATACGTCTGTTATTTCTACAAAGTTTTTTCATCATATTGTCTGTATGATATATATAATTATCTAATTGGATTTAAACGAAATTGTAATAAAGATAAGCGTGGTGTATTCATATATTTTTTTTTTAGGGTATACGCTCAGCATATAAGCGTTCATTAACAGGAGGAAGGGGACTAAACTCCTTAAAAAAATATTGTTCCTCCTACTTAGACTCTAAATTAAATAATATGATGACGACGTGAGATATACCACCGCCAGACATTTTTCCCATGAGGGGGGAGGGGAAGTACAAAATATCAAAAAAATATTTTTTGGGGGATTTGTAGTGGGCGCGCGCCCCCATAGTCCCCTTGGATCTACGCCTGATATGGAAGTCTACATTTTAAACTTATCTTTAATTAACTCATAGATATATATCATATATGAAACATAATATTGATGTTAATATTTATTTTCATGAAACCTAATGTTTTATTATGTGTAATAATATTTTAGTATTAATTTAAAATATTATGCACAAACATTTGATGAATAAATACTGATTAAGTGACAAACTGACAACAATATAATAATTAATAATCACAATCTATCCAAAACATCGTATACAGATCGGTTAATATTGTGATAAATTGATAAACAGAACTTTTTGACTGTTATCTATTTTTAACAATTATAATATCCGTTCGATAATACAATATCACACACGTCCACCGGTATTCTGATGTACAATATGTAGACGCTTGGCAATTTCCCACCGTCTTCGCAAATACCCGAAGTCGGGGAAAATTTAATCGAAGTTTATGCGGACACGAAGCTATTTTTGGATAGTGGCTATAGTGTATAATAATAATAAATTCTATACTATTGTTGTTGTATAATGTATACCTTATGGTGATGAAAAATTAGAAGCTTGGGACCCAATATGTACTAATGATTAGTTAGCGTATACCCATGATGGACGAATTTTTTTAAAGGTATACGCATAAATCTAAAAATAGGAATGCGGGATCCGGGTATACGGCGTATACCCACGTATACCCTCCAATACATCACTGGAGATAGAAATCATATTCTCATATAGCGGAGTAAATAAGCCATAAGTTTTTAAATTTAGTAAACGATTTGCAAATTGATAAAATAGTAAAAAAGTAAATAAAACAAAATATAAAAAGTGTATTGAATAACATAATTGTACTTTAGCTTAAAAATAAATAGTACTAAATAGATATTTGAAAAAATTCAAATTATTATTTTATATTATTAAATTTTATTGTTATATTTAGTTATTTCATGTCAAATCAGATACGATGAAGTAGTTCTCGAATTAGTCCAATGTACGTACACTTTTAATACGAGTATTTTATTAAACTTCTAGGAATTTAATTATGATTTGAAATAATGAATTTTAAACTAGACAGTAAAATATTATACATGGTGATTCAAATATTTTTTTCTATAATTCTGATAATTAGAAAACAGTTGAGCATTGACAATTAAGATCGTTGAGAGAAAAATGTTATTATTCATTTTTATGAATATTTTAATAGATATAAATATATGTTATGCATTTGTGTATACATAGACAATATGGCTTTGTTCCGATGATATAGACTCTTGTATAATAATCTACTACCTACGACTTAGATGATATCATCTACATTTACACTAAAGGGAAATGGAGCGGACGTTTGCATGGGTGGACATTTTCGGAGTAGGCGGCCAATCGTTTTGTGTCATTAAAAAACTACTTTGATTAATTTATAAATAATTAAAATGTATTAAAAACTGTTTTATAATGTAAATGTAAAATTACTGAAAGATATTTATTATGTGATAATCAACAAAGAATGTAAAAATTTAAACGAAATAAAGAAGTAAATTATAAAAGTAATTCAGTATAATTTGATATTCATAAAAATATTGGAATCTTATTTAAATTGAATGTATTTTGTCCATCAAGCCTACCTATAGCTAACCTATCAAATGGTTACAAAATTAAAAATGTATTTTATAGTTAATAGTTAATACTTTTTCACGTTTAGTGACTAAAATTATTATTTTTTATTTAAAGATTTTAAATGAAATATAAAAATTGTATATAAAAGTTTTATTTTATTAAAAATTATTGAAACTATAGTTCAAAATAAAAATGCAAAATTAAATGTTTGCATTCTAATTGTAGGTACCTACCAACTATTTATGTAATAGTATTTTATAATTCAAAAATCTACATAATTTTTGTTTTTATATCAGTTAAATACTTAAATCTAATACTTATATTAATCATCACATTTATATATTTTATAATTGTACAAATTTGATTTTTTTTTTTAAATTTCAAAAATAATAGTTAAATTATATTTTATAAATTGGTGGTTTCATTGTGATTTCAATTTTCAAAAATATTCATAAACATATATTTCTTCAAATATAAACGAAAATAAAAAAATAAAATATAATATATAACTATATTCTTTATTTGTAGGTAGATATATATTCGTATTCTGGTTTACATTTTGAGTATACATTTCAATAAAAAATATCGTTGTATTTCGAATTTTCATAAATGATTTTTAATTTTTATAATGTTTTAATGTACTAAAATACTAAGTCTTCAAGGACGTAAGTAAAGATTATTTATTGAAAGATGGGGAGGTTGATATATTTAATAACTATTTTTTCTATTACCTATTTAATTACTAACTGGAAATGTGGTAATGTGTGGGATTTGAACCATTTACTTATGACACTGTACCAAGTACATTATCAATGAGTTCAAACTTCAATAAATGTACAGATTATCTTGACCTTAAGACTATGAAAAAATATAAAGGAAGAAATCCCTTGGGTGAGTATTAAATATAATCATTAGGTACGAGATTATAGATGTCTGCAACGTGTTATTAAATATAGGCAACACTGCATAATAGTGTTCCGATTTCATTAATAATAATATGAAATTAAATATAAAATACTTAAATCTCATTAATCATTAATAATTGTTGAGTTAATTAAATGGTGATTTTTTTTTTTTTAGTTTATGTAAAATGTACAATTGTAAAAGAATAGTTTTATTTATTTCGCGAAATCATAGTTGGTACTTATGAAAATGCTTTTACAAATTTTAATTGTAAAATTTATTACTGTGACTAAATGTTCTTTTGTGATGCCATATCGAATTAAGCTATTATGCCGAATTCTACGATTAATATGCTAATTAACGTAATTCTGCGAATGTATATATTAGTAAATACATGGGTGGGA